TGTACGGTAAAGTTTAGCTTTAACTAAAACTAAAGCAAAAAACGTACACAAGTGACAGTGTTATCTCTATCGAATGCTGGCCGTACTTAATTAAAGGCTTAACTAATGTTAGGCCTAAGACAAATGGGTTTACAAATTTCGATGTTGGCAATTATAATTCTTTTTGTAATATTTTAGAAATACTGTATTTAAAAAGTACTGTTACAATAAAGATATTAATTTGACCGCAGATGTTAGTTAGTCACATGCAGTAAGTGGGACTCAACAGCAGTGAACAATAAATTTAAAGATAAAAACGTGTAAATAGAGAAATACATTCATCAATCTTAAAAACGTTTATTTTTCGCTAACACAAAATATTTACATTTTACTTACCTCAAACTTCATTACCTAATTTGTTGTGTATTTTAGATATCAGCTTCAATTACGTTCTTATCGGTGTAATGAAAATATCTGGACCACTTATGAGTTTGAGTACTTATTCATACATTGTTGGATGATTTAACAAAGCTCGTTTACTTAAAGCTTTGTAGATAAAGCATCAACACTTGACTATCAAACATTAATATTTAAATACGTTATAGTAATTAATCTTAATAATCAAAAGATTTAAACTAAAGAGAAAATAACTACTATATTTATACTAAACGTTTACCTGATGCCCCATCTTTTTCTTGAAATAAATATATTTTTCTGTTATATGTGCGCGCGCGCGCAAGAGGGAGTGGCCCCATCATTAATTTCTTTAAGTAAATATAACTTCTACTTTTCGGGGTGGCAGTTATATTTACGTTATTTAATAGTGTGTAAATCAATCTCTAAACCACAGTACACAAAATAAATACAGATTACTCCAGGATAAGGAGAAGATATACTATTTATTGAGCAAACCCAATTTTAATGAAACAAAGGCTTTTGCCTTTTTTTTAATATTTCCATTGAAGGGATTAAGGTACTATATTATATTTATATATATATATACATATTTAATGGGATCATTTTATGAATAAAGCATCAGTTTTACCCACTAATTCAGCATCCATACAAGTACATACACTCATGCAACTTATTGCCCATACCCATGCTAGCTAACATTTTTTTTTACAATACTTTCATATACCTGCAATAACTACAATATAATTAGATAAACAGCTGAAAGTGGCCAATATCAACAAAATGTTTACAAAATTATTAATTTGTACCCCCTTTTCTGCTATATAGAAATAACTTACAGAATCTTTGCATTATTTTGCATGACAAGAGTGACAAATATTAACCTTGCAGTGATTACGTACTACAAATATCATTAAGTATTTCAGTTTACTAAAACTAAAACCACTGTACAATAAATGGTACTTGCTCAAAAGCTCAACAAACTAACATTGCAATAGAAACTAGTAGTTTCAATAAACAGCAGGAAATAATTGCACATTTATGAACACTGTGACTGAGAAAAAAAAGGACCTATTAAAGTTTCTGTGACAAAGTATATACCTTATTTTTTGTACAGTTTTCAAGCAAGCTGGTTCCTATTTCTATATTCCAGCCAAGTTTCTACACACACTTCCTGATCTGTAGTTTGTACTTGTAAGATTAAATTATCTTCAACTTTACCATAAAATAAGTACCAAGAGAAACTTCTAATTATGCATCAGACTTTAGAAAACTTTATAATGCCATTTCTGTGAGTAATGTGCTTCCAAGTATGTACTACAGAAATCAGTGTTAACGATAACTTGAAAAGCACATATAAAAAAAATTCTTAAAGGTGTTCTACTAGGATAACATCACAGGACACAAAAGACTATTTTTGTTTGAAAACACAGAATCAGACCAAGAACCTTTCACAACTTGATCATACAATATACATCAAACATATAATTATCTTCCAGTATTTCATTCAAGGTATTATGCTGCTGTTCTTTGTTTACACGTATCTAACTACCAATACAACACTTGTACAGATCATCACTTCCACATCATTTTCCCATAGAACAAGGTCAATGCTACTTCACTAAAAAAAATTAGTAAAACAAACCTTAATTTACATTTTTATAGTTATTGATTTTAAAAAAGCGGCCCCTCTGATAAGTTTGCTAGTATTACAGATGTGTAATTCCCAACTTCTGATAAATACATACTCCTCTGTACAAATATTTCTTCTACCTCTTGATATTCGAAATTGTGACTATTGGAATTGAGAGGAACATATTTTGAAACAAGGAAAAAAAGTTTTAATTGGGGAGAAGGCAAAGCATTATTTGTCCCATGGCCCACTTTACACCAATGTTAGTAGCTGTAAACAAACAAATTAAGTTGACCAAAAATAATTTTGTTGTTTACGTTTAATGACTATTTACTAGCTTTACATAAAACTATTCTTATACTTTAAAACATTCTTTCATGAACTTATGTCCAATGAAATAAAATACAAATTTCATAACAAATAACAAAAAGAAGTCTTGCTTACAAAAGAAAAACTATCTCAAGTATCTAACACACATTTCATATATCTAAACATTTCAGCTATTTTGACATATATAATAAAACTTAAAATTTTTTCCATGAAAGAACATAAAAAATATTTTGTTGTCCAATACTCTGAGGTTTCATATGACTTTCCTCCAAACCAGGGAGGCTACAAAAAAAAAAGTAATTAATTTCACGATCTAGTATATCCAGTGCTGTTTCCAGCTTAAACTTTCATTACAACTTTGAACATTTATATATGAAAATATTTTACATATAATGTTAAATCAACTAGATGTGACAATAAGAACTGTTATTAGATTAAAATTTGAGGAACTAACAAATAATTATACAATAATACCAAAAAGCTACATCCATCAACAGCAGCAATCCAATATTAATCCCACACTGATATAAAGTCATCATATTAAAACTATTACATAAATCAAAACACGTTTTCTAACGAATAAACACACAACAGCAAGCAAATGCTATTTTGGTGTTTAAACTGACCCTCAAATTAAGATTCTAATGAAACAAAAGGCACCATTTTTAATTCTTCTAAAATCTCTTGCACATCAATGGTTTAATAATATTTTAATGATAAGGAGTATTCATTGCATTGAAAGCTTGATTGGATGAAATGAATGATGAATTTGTTGTTGTCAGTGGTATGGCATCCATATACTGGTTATAATTCATAGGAGAGGAAGCAACATCAGGATGGTGTGGTAAAACACCAGTGCCTTGATGGAAGATACGTCGATATAACAGAGGTGATGAGAGGGGTGTTGTCATTGGAGACATGGCACAACTAGGAGGGGTGCTTCCATAACCAGCCACACTACCTTCACCCATTCTTTCTTTCTGTTTTTGTTTCATCTGATTCAGAGTCATCTTTGATTCAGTGCTGGTAGGAATATTACTTAGACTGCTTGGGCCAGCACATGCCACTAAATCTAAGAGAGACTTTGCAAAATTTCCAGATAAGGGTTTAGCTGGTGGGAAACTCAAGTTTTCTTCTGGAAGTTCTGTTGAGTAAGAGCGCTGTAGATATTCTGAATCATCAGTAAAGCATGTCCTTGAGTGTGAGGGTGCACTGCCAGAGCCAAACCAACCAAAGTTTGGCCTGGTGTTCACAATAGGTACTGGAGCACTACCACCATAAGAAGGCTGAAAAGGTTCGATGTACGAGTTCCCCAGGGAATGAAATGACCCTGGTGGTGGACTTAACTGTAGGTCTGTAGGTCGAGATGCAGAAAATCTGTGCATACTTTGGAAGTGTGCTTTGTGCTGCAACTCTTCAGGACTTGATCTCATGTCATAATTTATTCCGTTACCAGGCTGATATCTCACACCAGTTAGAGAAGCTAGTGTGGAACTACCATTATGTCTGTGACCATCTGCACTTGAAGGCCTACTTCTTATACGTCTGAAGGCAGCTAACTCAAGCTGGTGCTTTTTCTTCAATTCTTCCCTTTCTTTCTTTTGTCTAAATCAAATACAATCTCAATGAAAAAATGTTAAGCTATTTAACAGGAAATACTATACACCAGAATAAAGCATTTATATGTAATTCAAAAATCTATCTATTCAGAAAGAAAACCAAAGGTGAAATAGAGCTTAATTTACAAAATATATTTCTCTAATTAATGACATATCAAAAGTGTGCATTTAAAACAAAAAAGTAATAATTAAAGCAGAGAAAGAGGAAAGCCATTTCATTGATCAGAACACACTAAATTTCACTAGTTGTTTTCAACTGTTTATTCATCAAACTCAACTGAAATATCTTTAAGAGAAATAGATAACAAATGAAGCCAGACCAAGAAACTTAAGTCAAACTGGATACTTAGTTTTAATACTATGTAAAAAAAAATATCACCTATATAAAAAATTTCAAAGTAGGTTTTGATTTCACATCGATACCAATGAACGTTAAATACATATCAATGAATTTCATAGTGTCACTAAATACAGTTAACAGTTTAAAAGGTGAATTGTTCTAAACCTTTCTTCCTAAAGTTTCATACATGTGACAACACTACGTCTAACAGTCTACTCATAGTTTTTCTGCAAAATCTGTACAATAGCAAATTATGTTAACTTACTCAGACATGTTAAAAACGTGCTATTTGTTGTAACCTTGTTTAGAGTAACCATACCTTTCTAACAAGTGTAAATACTCGTCACTGGAGTCATCATCCTCAAAATCAGAATCTTGTCGGTCATCATTTGCTAGAGCACTCTAAGGCAGAAAACAAATTGAGAGAATGTGCCCAAAGATACTGTAAGATACATTTAAGTTTATAGTTGACTTCTTTTAACAATAACAAGAATATATATATATACTGTAAATTCATGTATATTGTGTAAATATATTAAAGCCTAAATAATGAGGAAACATAGGATTGTTCCTAATATTATGCCATAAAAAAAATTTCAGAGCATCAGTTTTATACACAAATAAAGAGTTAAAGATACTGAAATGTACAGAATTTACTGATGTAATGAATATTTTAAAAAGGATCTTCTTCACTGAGTTACAATCAAATCAAAAATAAAACATACTAACATTTTTCAAAATTATATCGAACACTATAATATTTGGATAGTCTCCTGTAAGGTCAAATAACAGTTGATACCAGTAGTTCATAAATCTTTATGTTCAAAGCTGACCGACATATTTTATTTGAAAATGGTGCATATTTAATAATGCTAACGTGTTCTTTTTTCAGCCAAGAAATATGCATGAAAATTGGCTAATACTGGTTCTTTCTATACAAACTGCACTTTGATATTTCACACAAAATAGTTCAATAACAAGATATTCTAATAAAGTTATAAGCTGTCACTGATAAGAATCTACCGACTAGTATTAGATTTCATCTTTTTATTAAGGCCAATGATAACGTTAGAACATATACAAATTTATATAGCAGCAGAGAAGCAGTAGCATAAGCTAACACTGAAGGAGAAAGACAGTATTTAGTGCTAAACAGCAGCAACAGGAATAATTAAATCATAGCAAGTAGGTACACAGCAAACAGAAATACAGAAACACTGATTTAACATACCAGAGACAGAAAATATCAATGATCTCAGAACGAAATCAAGTTTTCGCTAGATTTTATATTTAAGTTTAAATATAGAAACCAAATTTCAAAAGATTAACTTGGATGATAAATTATACTATATAATATAGGGTGATCATAAAGGAAACCTCACATTCAAGGTGATTACAACTTAAAAACTGCTTGTTTCAGAAGAACAAAATTTCACCAAAGGCACCTTATGAATCACAAGTTTTATTCAGAAAAGTTTGAACATGTACAGTATATTTCAAAACCATATTATGCTACACATCTAAGCTGCTTTGTTTCTCATCTCTCTCTCTCTCTCTCTAAAATATACGAGACTGTCAACATAACTATCATGTTTGTCAGCATGTCACAAAGGCTGGAATATGGCAAGGGTATTTTTACAAACTGTTGAAGAAGTTCAGTATGTTTCCCAACATTCTCAACATTAGATTAAGTTACTGCAATCATGAACTGCTCCAGACAGAGTTCACTGATATTGCAGTATCCTGCACAATGACATGTATTTTATTCAAATTACTGATCTAATAATATTGAAAGAACAAGAAATTAAATTAAATCAATGAAAAAAAAAAAAGTAATTTAGGTTATGTAGTATAATATGGGTTTTGAAATCTCAATACCATTTCAGAGTTTCCTAAATAAAATTTACAAATCTCAATGAAACTTTGGTGAAATTTTGTTACCCTAGAATAACACTTTTTTCATTTTAAATATGGGGTTTTTTTCTTTATAATTCCGCGTCCACAACGTAAATTCAGCTCACGATTACTACTAAGTTTTTAAGAAGCTCAGAAAAACACAGAAAGAGAGAAAACATTTTCATACAAGATGCTTATACTTGTAAAAACAAACTTTGTGAAGCATCAAAGAGCACAGGCCAAGACAAGAATGTTACAAGTTTCCCGCCAGGGTTAGTTTCACATATTAGTTGGCTTACCAAAAACTTTCCCAATGAAACACTGCGCCCAAGTTCAAGCATGTTTTTCTTGCGTGCTGGGGTAGACACATCATTCATACTCGGACTCTTGGACAACTTGGACAAATCTGATACACTACTGACCCTAGGAATGTTTTCAAGTTTTTTGTTAAGGCTAAAAGGGTGGTGGGTAACAGTAGATCTGATAACCCCAGAAGTTTTAATATAGTTTATTTCTCTATTATTTTCCAAAAAATTAAGAGATGTCTCACTTTTTGTTTTATGCAAGTTAGTTATGTTTTGGATCCTTCTTTGTCTTGGAGTATTGACAGCAACATTTCTGTAGAAGACATTGTTAGTTTGGGTTTCAGCATCTTTTAATTGTAATGCATGTGACTTTAAATTAGTATGGAAAGGATTTAGTACAACATGGTTATCATGTGCATGGGGAATAGGGGAGAAAGTCATGTGAGTTGGCAAATCATTTGTTTTTGGTGGTACAGGAGACTCAAAACCTTCACTTTGTAGGATTGGGGGTAAGTTATATAGGTGAGGATGACCACTTCTGGTGCTTCCCATTATTTTGGCCAGGGCCATTTCTAAAGTTCTGGGAACATTATCTCCAGTATGGTGTTTCTTGAAGTTGTACACAGTTTCTATGGAAGGGAAAGTTGCATAACCACCCAATGTTCCTGTGATACTATTATCTGAGCTTGGGGAATCACATGCTAAATGCTCAATACTTGATAAAACAGACCTATATGGACTGGCAGAAAAAGTGTCTGGAGAACCTATTAAACCTGTGTGCTGTTTGAATTTACTGTTTTCTGATATTATGTCTGTAACTTTAGGGATAACTGAAACTGGAAAACAGTCTCTGGAAACAGCTGAGTCACTCTGAGAACGATGTTCACGAATGAATGGGAAGTGAATTAAAGGAAATTTTGTGTCTGGGAAGGTTCCAGCTCCTCTGCAGTCAGGGTCCTGATGATTATGTTAATAAAATAAAAACAAAAATCATAACCAAAAACAAAACAAATTATAACATAAAAAAACAAAAACAAACATGATTAGTTTAATGACAACTAAAAGCAACTAAACTTTAAATCAAGCAGATCATTCAGTGCTGTTAACTTGAAAAATACAAAAAAAATAATATTTAGATACATATAACACCTTGTAGATTATTACAATGCTTATTCTGCTATTGTGTTCAGTAGTATCAAATTCAGCTTTTAATAATGAACTTTAAATTAATTAACCCAGTCCATTATTTCAAACAGTTAGAAATGGCACCGAAAGGTTAATCACAATGCAAGGTAACTAATAATTAGAACTAAGCAGTTTTGGAAACTTAATAGCAAATAAATACCCATAACTGGTGTGATACTTATAATGCATGTCCAGTTTGAGTATGTCAAAGTTTTCAATACTACATCAGCATATCTATCCCTCATGCAGTATGGTTATAAAAATACATGACCAAGCTATGTATTATTGTTGAAACTTAGAAATGCTTATGAAAAAAAAGAGAGGAACTTTTGACAATTTGTATACCAAATTATAGTCAGGATGTAAAATTATGTTGGAGGGAAAACTTTAGTCTTCCATTGTTAAAATAAAAACATACATTAACTCTTTTGTATGTCATAACCTTTAACACAGTTACATTCAAAATTTTATAAATCAACTTTTAATATTATATAAGTATTAAGTTCTGAATTTGATAAGTAAATGTTTAAAAAAAACCTTCAACCTCCCTTAGTAGGAGATTTGTTACATTTGCTCTCTGGGTCTTCCCTCTTCTCTAATTCATTTACCACACCTTCAATAAGTATAAAATTTAACATAAATTACTTATTATAATATAGATATTACTGAGGCAAAGCATAATTTTGATAGCCGTCAATCTTATATGCTATAAACTAGAAAATTATATTGCCAATATTTCTCTCTGATGTTTTATACTATATTATTTATAACTAAAGGAAATCCAAAGTTTTAATCTATCAATTGACATATTATATTAGTTGTTTTCTGTACAGGACATTGTCTATTTCATTGTTCAGTTTCAAATTTTTTCCCCTGGGAATCATATTGACAAGCTTAGCTGAATTTTTAATTTTTTCTCATACTTATAAAGTAAGAAATATTATGTTGGTATAGGACATTGTCTGCTTCTTGTATGTTATTATTCTGTGTTTTTATGTGCGTTACTTAATTAAATAAAAAATCTATTGCAGTAGTACCATTAATATAAAAAAGTAAGCTTAAGTTTCATAGAAAGCCAACAGCAAAAAGAAAGAAGACCCAGGTAAATACTATATTTATAGTTTTTCCTGTGTATTCTTTAGTTATTATTATAAAAGTAACTAAAATGTAAAAATTAGAAACTTAGTAGGTTAGATAATGTTAACTTGTGTGAGATAATGAAAACAATTCTTCATAAGGTATGCTTGTGAGCAGCTTGTGTATTATGTAATTTGATATGGTAACATAAGTTGCATTTTCGCCAAGTGATTTATAATTTATGTGGCAGGATCATTAGTTAGACATGGTTCAAAGGCTTATAAAACAATAAAACTAAGTGTATTTAAGTGTTTTACACTCACAAAAAAGAAACTGAGACTGGGCAACTGGTACATAATTGAATAGGGTTGTTTAAACATTTGTT